ATGGGCACTCGCAGCACTCTCAGGGTTGCACTGCAGAAAACCAATCTTGGTTTGACCTTGACAAGGCCGTACTATCAAAATCCACTTGCGTTCAGTTTGAATCTATTTAGTTCAGCTTCTGACAACCTTCAGCATTACAGCCTTTTTATTTAAAAATTCTCCTATGCACTTAGTAAGCTTGGAGTTCTTAAACGGAGAAAAAAGAAAGTGAAAAGAAGAGAAATGATAAACTAAACAAACAGCACTTAGTAAAAGCAGAAATAATCAAATAAGCTGCCTGCACTGTTGCTTATTTAATTTAAATAACATTTTTGTGTTTATGAGATCAAAAAATTAGATGACTTGGACTCAACATATTTAAACCTCTAATAACAATGAACATTTGATTTAAATCCATAAACTGGAATACTTCTAATGAGTGAAACTTTATTAAATAAGGTCAACTTGATCTGTATTGTCTTGCTTCTGACTTTAATTCAAAACTTAATGCTTTCATACTCACTCCAGTGTCCTACTGATTTTTAAAGGAAATAAAAAAACAAGTGTCCTAGTTTGGATTTCTGTCTCATAGTAATGGACCTTGCTTTCATAGCATCACAAAATCAGCATTTTATAACACAGCTGGAATCGAAGGTTCCTGACTTCGCCAGAAATCCAGTAAGAGCAGCAGATACCAGGAGGATTACTGAGAATCAGAATCAACAATGGCCAGCAATCCACAGCATTATATTTAGCTTAGATTAAGGCTTCTCTGTTGAATGACTCAAGCTGCAGTCTCCTTTGTGCACACTGATGGTTCACTGGAGGTCTATCTGGTATTGTTGCCAGAGAACTCTGAGAACAATCCCTCGCAAAAAGATTAAAAAGGAAGAAGCAAGCAGAAAAAAAGATGAAGTTGGGACATGGATCAAGGAGCACACCTACAAGACCGGAGGAAGCTACAAGAGGGAAAAAAAAGATGTATAAGAGAAGAGATTTTTGTTTCAAATGTCATGCATCTGTTTTAGGAAAGTGTACTACCTCAGATGCATCATTCAGTATTCAGAAACACGGATCATTCTGCCTCCAGAAACAGAAATGTTTCATAATCAGAAGTCTTTTGCTGACTCAAAACTTGAACGTTAACTCATACCTTAAATTGCTTTTGCCGGGAACTGTTTTGTTAAAGTGAACGCCAGATTTTTCAAACTCTTCGCCTTACAGAAGGAAGCAGTTGAAATGGGTAAAAAAAGAGAAAGAAATAAAGTCACTTGTGGCTTTCATGGTGCCGTCTGAATAGTTGAATTTACTATACACTTTTAACCCTGAACTATTTTGCATTTGGTGGTGTTGAGGGGGAATCATGCGTGAGTTCATTGTATGAACGATAAACTTGAAGTGACACAACCGCCTTGATGATACACAGTGATTTCCATGCTCTAAATTTTAAACCCACTATCTTGGCTTCAACCTTGTAAGCTTGATTTTCATAAACCTTATAGGTGCAACAGACTAATAACATACAACACTGGAGCACAAACCTCTTGGACAGGATGTTCCAGACAACACTCTACATTATTTGTAAGATAATTCCATTAAAATGCTCCAAAAGGCAGCAATATCACAAAGACTTTTTAGAGGTTGAGTTCAGTAACTTAAATTAGAGGATGAGAAGCCTAGTAGAAAGCTCTGGGCTATAGCTGCCTGTGCTAGTATGTCCTAAGATTGAGCACCCCATAAGGTTGTTCTGAAGAGAGAAACTAGCTAAAAAGACCAGACAACTTAATTGTACCAGGCTGTGAAGAGGACATTGGGTGATATTTTGTTTGGGCTTCCCCACATTCCTTTAGTTTCTACCTTTAGGCAACTCCATGATTACAAACTGATGAAGTTTTTGGTTTTCATTCCTGCTTTGTTTTGTCTTTGCTGTTGGTGGCTCAGTTTAGCTGTCATGTTACCAAAAGGTCTGGGTATCATCACTGATAAATGACGTGAGATTAACTTGGTCTCTATGGTCCTTTTTGAGGATTCTAATCAGAGTCTGTGAAGGCTATAACACATGGGGATCTGAGTTGGTGGCACAGATCTGTGTGGTCTCAATTGGGATTGGAAAGAAACTGTGACTCCAGTCAGTCACACCAAGGAGGGAAAAATGTGATCTTTGTAAGACGGGGGGGAAGTAGAAATTGGGAGACTCTCAGTTGTCAGTTGTGAATGCAACCGAATTGCTGTGCCACCATACTGACGGGGTTACGATGGCGTGAGAGCAGGGGCTGCTGGCCAGCACTCCAGCACAGCTGAAATAGCAAGCAGCAAGAGCCAGGAGCTGAAACGCTACACCCAGGCTTCTCACACTCTCCTCGTCTCTCACTAAGCCTCTCTCCTTCTTTCTTTTTCCCCATTCTCTTTCGTGCTCTTTCGGTCTTTCCCTATCATCTTTCTTATTTACTCTGTCTGTCTTTAATCTGAAATCTTGCCATTTTCTTGCTCTCCGTCATTATCATCTAGCCTCTATCTCATCGCCCATTCTCCCCTCTCTTAATCAGACACCTCCCACACCTCTCATCCACTTCCAGTAAAGCCCAACGCGAGGTTACGGCCTCATTTGAATATATGAATGCATAACAGCCTCCTCCTTGCTGGGGCGTGGCATCGTTTTACAGTCACACAGCTGTGGCAGTGTTATGGGACCATCTGCACAAGGCTCATTAAGATAGCCATAAGCTAATGTGGAGAAAGAATATGCATGGAGGGAGGGAGGGGGGGGTGTTTATTCATCCTTGTTCCTCTTCTTTTTCTGTAGAACAGCCTTACCCCAGTTGGGATTATTTCCAGAGAGAGAAGAAGTAGAGGAAGGAGGAGCTTGAAAAATCCCCTTTCCACTCTTCCAAAGTTGCACACTTCCTTCTGCTTGTGTATTTGCATGTGATGTTGCTATGGCTTCAGGCGTGTGTGTGTGTGTGTGTGTGTGTTTATGCACAAACACTGGTATCTGTCAGTGACTGAGAGCATGAGGTTCAAAATATATCTTCTTATTGAAACTGTGCTGCTTCATCTTTTTATGACGTTTAAGATTTTATACTGTTTTACTAAGGGGAAGTGCAATGGAGCAGAATTTACCTTGTGAGGCAGCGGAGGTCTCATGAGATCATGATCATGAGAAAATCCATTAGCTACACACTTGAAGAAAAACCAAGTCACTTCTACTCAATCATATATGGGGAACTTCCAGTTAAAGGACAGAATGATTAGTACTTTCATACCACCTCTGAAGTTCACTATAGGAGACTGGCTAAAACTACAGGAAGTGAATAAGATTTTTCCACGTGATGATGAAGATGGTGAGATTTGGTTAAGAGATAATGGGTAATTAAGCTATTTATGCTTTAGTTGCACACTTTTTGTAATCATTGGGTTTAAATACACTGTGGGGGATTGATGTATAATATACTGTTCATGATAATTAATTTTAAATCAAGTTCAAGAGGTGCTGATGCCAGCCATTCTGTAATAACACTTTTGCACAAAGGAACAGTTTTTGATGCTCTTTTTCTTGGATCTTTTTGTAAGAAAATAGTATTTTTCTTGTTTTTGGAGATATTAGAAAGGTCTTAAAAGTCACTAAATTTGTTCTTACAAAGGCTTCAGATACTCTGATGGCTTTTCTAAGTGCAGCTGAAATCCATGTCTCTTTTCTGATGTGCAAACCCAGCTCACGGCGTCAGCGAGGAGTGTTTTCGCGGGCAAAAGCACAGCCGTGTTTTCAGTCGATAGAGAGTGTACTTGTTTTCTGGCGGGCCGTGTCAGTGCAGGCATTAGATAACGTTTTATTTGATGGTGTTCAATGGCTGACTCGTCCTCACCTCTCGCCCAGGCCTCTCCTGCTCTCCAGCCCACATGCGCTCCCATGTAAAGCCAAACGCACAGACATCCACCCACTGACTCACACACACACACACACACTCACAAACACACACTCCCGCTCTCTCTGCATCCTTCCTCTGGAGGATTCTGGCAGTTGTTTATGTTATTGAACTGGTTATCACATTACAGCTGGAACACCACCAGGCTCAGAGAGAAAGAGTCCTCCCGCTCTCTTAAGAAATAAAAGAAAGGCGGCGAGAGTGCAAGGGAAAAACAAGAGCAGAGGGAAGACTAGATAAGAATATGTTCAAATGCTTTTGCAGTGCACTCATCAGCATCACCATGTTTCTTTACTTGTTTTGTGGAAACAGAAACCATGTCTGTCTGTGATCTTTCCAGAATACTTTAACTACATTTATTAGTGATTTAACAACAGCCTTTAACCTCCTCTAAACTGGATAACCAGATGTGTGACTAACTGAATTACCACTACAATAGTTAAAGTTCTAATGAGTTTATCCACTGGTTAGTTGTTATGGCCAGACTGTAATTAATGACAGAAGAAGCAAAACTGGAATTCTATATTAGTGCCTGATGTCAAAGCAACAGATTTTGATTATTCATCACCTATTGATCCATCCTTCCTAAGTAGCTGTAGACCTATAATAATATCCAGCTGCTTTTCTATGTGCTTGCAACTGTCATAATTCACATACAACGGATACAGCTCAAAAATATTATTGTATTGTACTGTAGTTCATATGTGTACTGTGTCACGGTCGCAGTGGCAGACCGTGTGGAGAGTGTGTGGAGGACTCAGGTGCAGACACAGGCGTGGACACGAAACTGAGTTGAATGAAAAGCGAGCCTTTATTGTGGCTGAAGACAAGGAGTGCAAACAGGGCAGAAGCGCAGTGACAAAACTAAACTATAACTAAACTGGGAAAGTGATACCAGGATAAACTATGAAGACACAGGAAATCATAACTATGAATACAAAAGACTGGCTGTGGCAACATGGAGGGTGGGAACACAGACGACGCGACACAGACTGTATGAAACACCGAGACTAAATACACATGAGGGATGATCAGGGGAAGTGGCCACACATGGGAGCACAGCTGACACACATGAACCTAACGACAGGACAGGAGAGGTGAAATTAAATACACTGACATTGAATACAGACTTTCAAAGTAAAACAGGAAACATGGAGATTAGACATGACATGAACTAAACATAACCACGCAGACATGACTCATGACAGGTAGACGCACGAACCAGGGAGACGGAGTACAGGGGAAGATGACAGAAGCGACAACATGAACTTGACAACACAAGACACACATACATAAAGACATGAAGGGCAAGGGAGGCTTAATACAAGGGTAATATAATTACAAATGAGCTGGAATAACTTAATGAACCTAAACAAACCATAAACATCAAAATAGACTAAACACAAAACACTGGGTCGCACAACCCAGGACCATGACATACTGAGTATGTGTCTCAGAAAAGTTGATACTCTGACGCTGACTTATATTAAAATTTGTCAGATTAGATACTCAGTTGCCACAGTATAAATACCAGGAGTGACACCTTTGCCTCCTCCTGCTGACACAGAACTTCATAAAACACGGCTGCAAGAAGGCCCATAACCCTTTCCCTCACTAGCAGCTGAACACATGAACAGTAGCGCAGTAATCTTGGCAAAGCATCTTAAAGACTGAGGGCCTTTCACATAGGATGCATGTGCTGTGTTGGACTTTGCAACCAATTCTTTTCTATGCACTGTGCAATAGCGGCACCCTGCTGTGTCCAGCAAAGCACAGCACAAGTGGGCTGCCTGTGGAACACTTGTGCATCACACCATTTGCTATACATTCAATAGAAATGCAGAATGATATGGAGCAGGCATGATTAGTACATGTAAAAATCATGAGTGGCTCCAAAAAAATACACAGTACTCCCCCCACCTTCAGTCAGTGCACGTCGCTTCCTTTATGAAAGCGACTTGGTAGCTCAGTAAAGCTTTCATTTCAATAACAGAGATTAAACAGTCATCATAAATGTTAACCTGGCCAGCACACACGCTAACGTTAGCCATTGGCGGTAACTCACATTAGCCGGCTAGGGTGTATAGCTGATAATATAATGATAACATTAATGTCTGAATTGAGCAGCTCTTTATCAGTTCTGCTACTTGTTAATTTTCTCTTAAAGTTCCTGATTGAAGCCTGAGAAAAGTCTACCAGCTATCTCATAATCTATCTTATGTGTTCTTCTCCTATTAAGTTATACAATCAAATATGACTGAATATTGGTAAATAACTCCCTGTTGTAGTGGAACCTTTTGGATGAAAAGAGAAGGAAAAACTCTGCACTAGAAGTTATGGAAACTTGTTTTCTGCTCTGTTTTGCACACCCAGCAAGAATACATAATCCAGATATGTGTTTTTTCTTTTTCTTTTTCTCTTTCACCCCATGGTTTCTCATCCAATCCAAAGAAGTGCTGCGCTTTCAAATCCCCTCTCTTCTTTCCAGCTTTCCTCCTTTTTACAAACAGATACTCGTCCTAAATATCTCAGCTGCGCTTCACCACAATTCACTTTGGAGAGAACTATGTCTGACAAAAGCGTTTGGAGAATGTTCAAGAGGGGTGGTATCTCCAAATTCCTGAATAAGGCTTGTGTGACGGAGCTTTTCTGTCTCCATCAAAGGAAGAATTGCATTGTGTGGCTGCAGAATCTAAATGCCCGAAAAGTTTCTCTCTCAACAATCTAAAGAATATTAATACTCTGTGATAATAAACAGACTTTAATGTGACCTTAGGATTATAAGATCCACATACAGTCAAACTGTTTTTACACAGTGGTGATTGAAGTGAAAACCAGGGTTATTGTGGGTTAAAATGATTATGGATTAACATGACAGCATGGTTTTCTCCTCGCTGTAATGCCAGCACCGGCTTCACTGAAGCAAGGCAAAGGAGCTTAGTGCTTTTAGCCCGTAGTTCTCTTCTCTGGTAGCATCTGTTGTTACAGTCGGACAGAGCAAACACACACTCGAACCACTCAAACACATGCTGAAGGGTCATAAAGCCCTGTTTTTAATGTACTGAGGGGGAGACGGAGTGTGTGTCTGTGTGAGTAGGTGGGTGATACAGTATGAAGTAAGGGTTTTCACAGAGGACAATTCCTCTGGAGTCACAACAGGTGTGTGCGTCTCTGTGTGTGTGGATTGCAAAGGGGGAATTATGAGCCGGGTACTAAAAGGAGGAGGGGTGGGTTAGAGGACTTATGAAGGGTCCTCTCTGCCCCACCTGTAGCCTGTCAGCTGTTGTAAGCCTGTTAAAACGTCAGCTGTTTCTGAGGAGAAGTGTGTGTATGTGTGTGTGCGCTTGTGTGCATGTCTGTTAGTCAATGTCAGGGAGCTTGTGGAGGTTGGGGGGAGGGCTGGCTCTGTGTGGCACTCACCGCCCCATTGCACATCAAATGCCTTGTCCCCTCTGGGGATTTGTTAGTGCACAACACAGCGGCTTGTGCTTACGTTGCCTCTTTTCTGTTCATTGCACTTTGACTCAATTGTTCAGTTAAAGAAAAAAAAAATCAGAATCAGAAAGCATCTCTGAAACAATGTCTCTATTTTGTCTCTTTATGAGCAGCAAGTTTGATTCCTTACATGACAGATGTCTTTGTTTTTTTGTTTTTTTTGCAATTGAACCGAACCCTAAAACTTTAAATATAATTAAGATCTTACTGTACAAAAATGAGTCCAAAAGAATCAGTCATGATCAAAAAACTTCAAGTTTAAATGTTAGGAAAGTAATTTTCAATATTTAGTGCTATCTAAACTTTTATTTGTTAGACAGCAAGAAGAATGTGGTAGCAACTTTCAAAGGTGTGACTCATGACCTGACAGCGTGGTCCTAGAGCTAAGCAGACTGTGTTTCAGTTTGACATTGTGGAAACTTTGATAGCGCTTTGGTTTCAGCTGTTGGCTCTGACACTGATCTTTCAGTGTCGAGAAGTAATTTTGACTATGTCAGCTAACTTCCACTCTTTCATCTTTGTGCTTGATAGAATAGCTGCATGTATCATTTAAAAAATATGGTAAATTAAATCACATTTAATGTTCATCTTGAGCTGCTTTTCTGTTTTCCTTTATTCTTTCTGTTTGGCAGTAGTTGCGTGTTGATAGATTCTTTGTGCAAGGGGGCTTATTTTGTTTCGTTTTCCCCTAACCAATCAGTAGCAAATGAACCGACAAACCACAGCTGAAGAAACTGTTTTAGTAGTTTCTAGGAGCAGTAACCTTCGAGATCTAAGCTGATTTGAATGCTCCTGAAACACTTATCACTATTTTATTTTCACATTACTATATCTCTGCTTATCCTGATGTAAGAAGACATTGTTTACATTTGGCCCAGTAAATTCAGATTGGTTCATTTTTATTATTCCTCCTGCTATTGGTATGGAGGGCTGGGCCACTATATCAGCCAATTTGAGCTTATTGTCAGTCCAGGTGGCATGAAATAATCCTCTCTGTGTTTGGCAAAAGGCTTTGTAACACTTCAAACATTTCAGTAGTACAATTACAGGTAATTATATGGCAACATGAAGTGTTTACCACAGGCATGCTTTACTTGCTTCTCCAAAGAGGATCTTGTTTTGTGGTTACACCAAGTCCAAAGCATGGACTGCAGCTCTGCTCTGGAGATCTGGAGGGCTCCTCTAACCAGAACCTGCAGCAGGTGGGGGCTGGTTTATGTGCTCACTGCAGCTCAAAGCAGAACAAAGACTGCCATTAGCAGCTGCAGAGCAAAGCGGTGTATGAAGTTGTGAGATTATCCACAGGCTGAGAGAGTCACAGAAGAACCAGCCCACACCACACCCCACGCCTCCATGTGTTCTGATTTTTTTTTTCTTCTATTCACTCAGCTGATGGGCTTCCAAATAATAATTTACAGTAAGTACAGACATATAATAAGCTCCCAAGTCACCAACATCACTAACAACCAATCGTATAGATTACAGGAGGTCAGAGCAAGTGAGCTTTGAAATCTGTGGTAATAAAGGTCTCTTGTTATGTAGAATGACCATTTAGGAGATAATTTTCCTCCTCCAGACCTCTCGATCTCAACAGCTCTTTGAAATTAACATGGGTGATCTTTTGATTCCAGATGTCTGCTCTTGTTGTGTGGGGGTTTTTTTTTTTTGGTTTTTTTTTCCTTCAGGGCGTAAGCTGAATGTCTGTTGTCCTGCACAATGCACTATGTCATGCTGGTGTGGGAGTCACAGGTGTTGAGTGATTTATGGCTTTAATTTACTTGATAGATTAAAATATGATAAAGTTTCACGCACAGGTCATTAATTAGAATAACTGAGCCAGCTGTAATTTTACTTTAAATCACTTGGCAGGGACATGGAAAAAGCTTACTACTACACTTTACATATTAAAATGTATACTGTACACAGGAAGGCATGTTGTTAGTCAACAGGGATTGATTTCCCTTACGAAGGCAATGGTACTTCATTGATTACTCCATAAAATAAGCAGAAATCAGAGCGCTGCTTAATTTAGTGCTTTGTGTTATATTAAAGACAGATTCAAAGGGGAGTTTGATGTTAATAATCTGTCCCTAAAACTGTTCCTGTGTTGGGCAGTGACAGCCTGGAAAAGCGGTGCGCTTGGAGCTGCAAAAAGAGGCTTTTATGGGGTGGGGGGTTGCAGCCTTTGTGGAGCCAGCTGAGTGAGGCAGACAGTTGAAGGGAACAGGTTGCTGCGTCTGTTGGGGCTTGTCTTGCTGCTCTTGACTTCTAACCTATAGCTGCGACAGCTCCAGGGGCTAGGAGATGCCAAATTTCCCCAGATTGAGTGAGCAAGGGCTAGATTAGATAAAGACAAATACAATACTGGTCGGTACTGTGACATACAGCAGTCCCTAAAGGTGTTCCAGTGCAGTCTCGTGCTATTTTTAAGTAGCTCACATTCTGTGTGTAGTTTAGATTTATTTCTTTGAAAATGTTATAAGCTTATCCAACCATGGATATGCCTGAAACACCTCAGTGGGTGGCCGCTTCTCCCTACTTTCCCCTGACATGTTGACAGTGCTGGTGTACAGTCACTCCTGCTCTGGTGTATTTTCAGAAGAGTAAAGCAAAAGATGGGATAATTTACATGGAAAAATATTGGCAGATACAATCTGTGGGCTACGTCGTTGCAGATTTTTTTTACACACGCCCTTACCAAAACCACTGATGATGCCAATTCTGACACCAGAGCCAGTGAATTTATGGTGTTGTGGTTGGTTGTAGACTGGACATTGACTCTACTTTGGTAGTGCCCAAACTACCTCAAATAGATCCTTCTGATGCAGAGAAGCTCCATGGCTTATCTCTGAAGATGTCCACAGAGGAAGTGATGACTTTAATTTCGCAGCTAGCAGAGACCATGGAAAGCAATTGCTAGCGACGCAAAGTGTGCAGGTCCCAAGTTAAACTTTTTTATGACTTGAAAGCAAGAGATTGAAGCGACTGCTAGTGAGAGTGCAGGATACCATTGATTGACATATAGCAAAGTTTTAAATATATTAGAGGGTTACCTAGGCGACTGGAGTCTGGAATGTCTGCTAAAAGCCAGCTGTCAGCAACAAAGCAATGCATGACGAACGAATTACTTCCTGTGTGGACGCGCCTTAAGGGTGAGCTCAGGGCCCTATCGGAGCAAGCTCATTTCTGCAACTTTTGTATCTGTGATCTACGTGGCCGCATGTGAGAAAAGGAAGGAAGGCAGACTGATCAGTAAATGAAAAGCATTCCCTTTGAGCTCAGCCACAACAAACTGGAACAGTGATCATATCCGTCTGGATTCTGTACAGAACTCCTCCAGCTTCATTTAATTAATTACATTTTTAAAATTTTTGCTAATCTAATGTGTTTCAGTTGGAACTTGCTCATTTTGAAGGCAGTTTTGAATTAAAGTAGAACTCTAAATACTAGAGTGCCAAACTGGATCTATTGATTTATTAAGTGGCAAACAATTACTTGCTTTACAAATCATTTATCTTTTTCGTAACTTCTTGACTGATATATTGATTTACATTGTTAAACTGCACATCTTTATTGGTCCCACAAAAAGAGACGTCAATGGCTGCGGGAATTCTAACAACAGATTTTAACTGTTTTTGTCATTATGATCTCAACAAATAACCAGTTTATTATGACATAAAAGGATTTAGCAGAGTTAATGGTTTTGCCTCATTGTTTTGTACTTCTTCATTTGCATCACATCCCTACCTTAATGGCTAAAATCAGATGCAAAGAAATGAAAGCAAATTCAATGTGCTTATCTTATATTTTCTGAATAGACATACGTGAAAATAAATGGTGAAAATTGAATTGAAATTGGTTTGATCCACTCAAGATGCTTTAGGGCATCTGAAAACCTGCTGGTTTGAAATCACTAGATTTCTAACATGAAATGTAAGTAAAACGAAGATTGGCTCTGGATGCTGGCACAGATAATGTGGAGTAATTAGACATCCTCATTGTTTGGATGAGTACGTTCTGTTGGAAATGTTCATCTTCTGAGCTTTATTATGCTGTGAGATTTGTCGTAAGGATGTGAAAATGTGGAAAATTCCTTAATAATGTAGGTCACATGCGAGAAAATAGCTCACACTAGTGCCACACCAAAGAAAAGCTTTGTCATTTTTTTTTAATTTACCCCATCCTCGGGAGGGAGGCAGATTTGCATAATCAGGGTATTCACTGTCAGACCCTTGAAAGCATATCATGCTTATTCACAAACCTATTAGTCATTTGGTACAAAGACAAAGTACCAAATAAGCTTGTCTTCAACAAAACCTCTTGAGTTTTTCTTTGTCATGGCACATCACTCAGGTGGCACACCTTTCACATTGAACAATACGCAAAAACAAATCTTTTGCCTTCTCTGCAGCTGTTCCAAGGATTTGCAGTTACATGGATGGATGTTTATCATTGCAAGAGCTGAAGCTTATATGCTTTTGTGTTTCCTTTAAACATAAATACACTTGCCTCTGGGCAAAGGAGCTGCTTTCTTTTACTGCTCTGCTAAAGAGGAGAGAATAGATATCCTTTGCTTAGTGTTTGTGCCTCCCCCACCTCTCCTCAGTGCCGGATCCCCACCACATGTAGCCAGCACCACACAGTCTTGGCCCGCGCTTGCAGTCAGTTGTCAGTGAGAGCGGAGGTAGGCTCATAGATCCCCATTTTAGGCTCCGGGCCAACACCGTGTGTTCAACACGGAGAGCCCCCAGGCAGTCGTGCACACAGATGACAAATGTGGATGGCAAGCGGGGGAAAAAACCTGGAGAACGGGGCAGAAAGATAAGGCCATCTGAGCAACCGTGTTTGTTGTTGAAGTAATTGTGCCCTCAATACTCTGACATTAGGATTGTTGGGTTTAGTAGTGGTGTATATTTTCCAAACCATGGGCAGATTTCCTGTTCCAGATACACAAAGGGAAAACATTTTTCTTCTCTCCTTTTACAGATTTATCCATATAAGTTACTGCTGCAAGATGAATATGGCCTTTGGAATTTTTGCCCCTTGTTTAACCCGTTGGGTTCTTGGCACATACGTGCCTGCACCCATACATGTATTCACTGTGTGTGGAAACTCAATGACACAACTGTTTAGCAGACTCCTGGCCTCCCATTTCCCACACCCTCCGGCCCCCCTTTGGAGATTTCAAGGTCAGGAAAGGGCACGGGCTGAGATTCATGTCTTGGGAAGCAGAGTCGCTGTTGCAAAAAAGTCACAGAGAGCGAAGCGTTCCTTTTACAGTGGTTGCTGTCAAACAACCGTATCTTACCAAGATCAGATCTTCTAGGATTTGGATATGGCATCAGATAAGAACCGTCAGCAGTGGTCCACATTGGAGATGACGGGGAGGTGGAGATGTTGCAGTGTAGCTGTTGAAGTTTAACAGCAGAATTTCAAAATCGCATATTGAACGGTAGGGCAGAAGGGCACAAGACATTACCGGTGTGTTGAATTCTCCGACAGCTGAGCATTCGAGTATATGTGTGTATTGCATTGCATTGCATTGCCTTTGTGTGTGTGTATGTGTCCAGATTTTTGGGGGGTGGGGTCCTCAGAGAGTCCAGAGGATCAAAAGGTATGTAGGCAGCTGCCACCCTGTTGCTAGCAGCTCATGATCCAAATGGAAGATGTATAGACACACGTGCACGAGGGATAGACTGGTGTGCAACAAGGATCTCACACCCTCAGTTAGGCAGCTAGTGACTCCCTCACTCATTTGGGACACATACATATAGCGATATTCTGTTTAGCCTATAAACTGGGAATTACAATAAACACTATGTCAGAAGCTTAGTAAAATTAGGTTGTTAGTTATCAAAACACAAGTTAATAACTTTTGCATTTGTCAGCTGACGATTTCAGCATTCCGACATGTTTTTTGGGGGGGCATATTTTTCCATTGTTTGTTGGCAGTACATGGAAAAAAAAAATCTCACTGTATTATTTTACCATAGTGGAGCAGATCAATCTGGCTGTGATGATCACTAAAGTTTGAGTAAAATAATCAGATCAGATATGAGATAATAATAATTTTATGCTGAGCAAAAAAACTGATTTTTTTGATAGTGTACTGCACTGTTTTTTTTTATTTGGGTTTTTTTTTTTTTCTTTGCTGTGGTATATAATGTCAAGTTTCATATTTTAACTATCAGTTTAAACTTCAAGGAATGAGATTTATATTTAGAAAAGAATTTATTGTTCAATTAGTTATAATTCAATAAAGTTAAATATTGACCTACTAAAAATTTGGAAATGCAAGGATTTGCACTAAATGTGCTGAAATGTGGAAAAAAAAAATTCTTTAAAGAGCTGACCAGCACACACCTCATTTGCTAACATAGACTATGATGAATTGGTGGCAGTTGCTGAAGGCATATTAGGGCAAAGGGTGACCTGGGAGGGGTTTATGGGTAGAGAGGGGGATGAGTGTACTGTTTAATTGTGAGGAGTGAGGTAGAGTGACAAGAAGCAGCAGCAGAGGAGGGGGCTTGGTGGTGCTTGGGGTCCAGTAAGAAGGGTAATTTGGGGCGTCCAGAGTGAGGTGTTCCACCAGCAGTTGTCACTTCGGCAGTCGATGGTGGGTGGAGTGGCACATGTGCTGCTCTAAGCCGGACTGTCTTTCTATACAGGACTTTGTATACCTCTGCAATCTTTGACTTGGACTACTTTGGAACTATTGACCTCAACATTGTGTTTTGTTTTCTGCTGTGTCATAGAACTTCCAAAACAACTTTTTGGCACCAAAAATCTTCGCTGGTAAGAGCAGTCGATAGAGATGTTACAGTTGGTTTGATTAAATTGATTTGATGTGAAATGAATGCTATGTTTCTTAAAACCATGAAGAGAGAAAGTCGTTTTTTTTCTTTTTTTTCTTTTAAGATTTCACACTACCTCGTCTCTGTTTAAAAGTCACGTTTTAGCTGAAGTTCTGAAAAAAATGTTTTTCATGAACATTCAGAGATTTCTCGGGTCTCTAATCAGTCCAGGAAGCAATCAGTAGGTCTTTACAAGGTAGATATGGAAGAGTGCGAGGTGACTTGCTGTGTGGCCGGCTGTCCTTTGTCAGCTGCTGAACTGACATCTACCCAAGTCCCCAATGTGCTGAGAGAGGCTCAAGAGTGGAGGGAGGGTCTGTTGTAGTGATTTATGGTCGGAAGCTTGTGTTGTTGTGAAGCTCATAACGTCACACCTGCTCTTTTTCTTCCTTGAATTGAAGGCTTACATGACCATTAATGGTGAGTTGAGTGCCATGACGCTTGTGCCCTTGACACCTGTTAAAACTATGTTCTGTACTTTACGTATGGTGAGATATATCGCATTGAATACAGCTGCTGGGGTTCTTTAACCTGTGCGATTACCCTGTTTTTACTGTGCTTTTTCCCCAAAAAGAAAAGGAAAAACACAAGGTTAATAGCAGGAGGTTGTTTTATCCTAGAGATAATAGGCTTATTTTGATTTCCAGGCTTAAATTGATTTGTCTGCCTTTGTGTTGTTTGTAGAAAAAGAATTACATCAGGAATTTGAAGGGTCTTGTTCTACAGATGGGAGATTATTACATGGATTGTGCGCTGCACTGCTGTTGGTTGCTCCATAGTGATCATCATTTAATTTTGGGATGATGACAGGAAATAAGTTTTCCTTTCTCAGCATGGTTGTGATGTTTTTTCTCATTTCTACAAGTTTTATTGAGTTGCATTGGTGCCTTCTGCTTTTTAAACCAGTCAGAACAAGAGTGGATGGACTTGCAGGTCTCCAAGCAGCTGCTCCGCACTTGTTTTGAAAGGTTTCTTGACAACAAAGCCGACCTGGCTCGATCTCCTGTGACTAGATTGAAAGATGCCTCTCTGAGCTGAAGGAGCTTGTGCTTTCTAATGACCACCCACACACACACACACACACACACACACACACACACACACACACGCACACGCAGTCATGACTGAGTCTGTGTATATCTGTTACCAAAAATGTTTTCTATAGGGAGAGTGAAATTGTTGAAAGGACTACAGTTACTTCTTAGAACAGTGGTGTTTGTGTGTGTGCGCCACACTCCGTGGAGTGTTTATTATTACTGGGTACCTTTAGCATACTTGCGGTGCCCACATTACACAGTTAATGACAGATAAATAAACATAACGTTTGTGGTGGATGATAAAAATAGGTAGGTATTTTCGTGCTGAAAAAAAAAAAAAACAGAATTCCTCCTCCCACTCACCTGCATTCATGAAAATAAACCTGACAGCACTTGCGTTAAAGCACTATGTGTTAGAGCCAGCCGGTTGTCTTGATCTTACCTGTCTGGCTCTTGCATAAGGTCCCATTGATGAAAACATGTTCGACTAGTGATGTCAAACTATCGTACGCACGCTGACTCGGGCATGCACGCCCTTCGTCCTCGAGTGTCACATTGATGTCATTAGTGTTTTGTCTGGCGGGCGTTCTTCTTTGTCACATACCTTTTTGTTATTGTGCCGCAGCACATTTGAAACGATGGGAAAAGCTTTCAGGGAGGAAACCTGGATTCCACCAGACATCTCAAGAGTTGCATTTCAAAACTATTTGCCCTAATGAGGCAGATTATAGATTATAAATGATCTGATCTCAAAGACAAACAAAGCCCAACGTAATGAGTAGTACTTGAATGAATAATAAATTCATTAAATACTGCTGCTGCCAGAATAACTCTCATTTATAAATCAAATTGCAGCTGTTTAATTTGCTGTGATCCAAAAAAACAAAACAAAACACTGTATGTAAGAGCTAGTTCAATGTAATGGCACAGCGTTGATTGATTAGTTGTTTATTTAGTCATTATCATACCAGTTTATCATGTCATTTTTTTTTATGTCCTAAAACTGTCAGTAAATAAAGAAATTTATGATCACAGGAGTTCTCAGCCTGAGGGGAAATTATCATGTCTGAAAAACAAATATATCCAACTTACAATTACACAAACAGTAAGAAGAAGCAAATTATGCACATTTGAGTATCTCCAAGCACTACGTATCTGAAGATTAACTCATTTTAGATAAGGTTATTTGATCAAACAAAAATAACCATCAATGGCATGTTTAGCTGAGGTTTTAGACATCGGTTTCAGTTCTTGAAAAAGCATCTAGAAGACTCAATTTGATTTACTTTAAGTGACTGTAATACACCTTTAAATCGATGCACGAAAACTTTAGAACTTGTAGTGACCTCTTATACATGCAAGGCCACAGCAGATCTTCAAATACATTTAAAAAAATGCCTCAAGCCCTTATTAGATAATCTGAAGGATTTCTAATCAAGAAACGGTTTCACATTTTTCCTATTTGTCACAGTTCTTACGTGGTTACAGTTTATCATTTTAAACTCTTACCACTGGCTCCTCTAATCAGTCCACACCTTTCAGGAACAGGAGTGCCCCTGAGCATGTTAGGAGCTTTTATCTTTTGGTCATGATGTAACCCAACAGGCCAAACCACATTGTCCATGTTGGTGATGCAGTGACAGGGGTAGGTCTCAGATCAACAACAAATTACAGTTAAAGTATTGTATGGCCTGCCAACAAGTCCCCTATACTCCACATGGTTTCTAAAATTCAGCACAAAAGACATCTTTGTGAATCTGTGTTTGCACTCGCATACAGTATATACGTGCATTATGGGTATTATCGGGATATTTTTGCTGTATTCATGCCAGAGGCTATGAGCACAAACAGCAGATCAGTGACAGTTAGGGCGCCCTGTGTTAAGTGCGTAGGTGTGTTTTTTCTTTTTGTGCGTGCTGTTGTTTGTTTTTTTGTATACGTGTTTGGGAGTGTGTGTACGTGCTCGGGCAGACTGCAGTATTGATAGCGACCCAGCAGTGCGGGCGTGATTCACAAGCCATGAGGCACAGATCTTCTTACTACCCCTCCCATCCCATCTCATCTCTTGCCCCAAACCACCACCACCTCAGAAGTGCTGCCCTTGCACTGCATCAGCCCTACCCACTCTTTCCCACCTCTCTAAAGTCTCACCCATGATTGGTTAAGAGGAGAGGGGGGAAGGGGAGATCATATTCCACTGCCAGGGTTGGCAGCGCTGAAGCACAGGCACAATCACAATCATAAGCCAGGCTTCAGATACGAGGCCAGCAGCTCCCTCCTCCTCGTCCATCTCCCTCTCCTCCTCCACTATTTGTCACCATGCCCTCCCTTTACTCCACCTGCTGATATTCCACAAAATCAGCCATAGGGTTTTGTTGATATTGTAAAGATGCATGCTGGGTGATCTGAAGCTTGAGTGTGCTGGGAGCTGTGTCCAACAGTTGCCCGGGAACATGAGGCAACAGGCTGTAAATATCACACAGCTGGTGCTGGCAGAACACCCTCAAGGTTGGGCTCGCCGGGTCACATTTTCAGTGGCCCAGTTACACGCCAACCTTTTC